CAAAAGTAATTAATTGAAAATACAAAATTTTATAACAATAAAGATTCAATTTTAAAATTTTTCAAAGTTGAAATAAATTGTCGTTAAAGAAGAGTACAACAACCCATGTTTACTCAAATTAAAGCTCCGTTATTTAAGTGCAAATACAAGCAAATATTTACCAAGTTGGATCGTGCCAAACAACCGTCTATTGGAGATATTAGATAGTTAAATAAGGGTTACGTTTAGCACTGTCGGAGTGAGTTTGAAATGAGTTTTAATTTTTTTTTAGACCTTGTATCCATAATGCGGTAATATTTTGTAAGAAAAAAGTCAGTTACTTCTTACCCTTTTATTTAATTTGTGTTAAGTGTTAGCCCTGTGTACCTAATATACAGATTGTGATAAACTTATGAATGACCAAAATTATTTTTTGATACTACCTGCGTGTAATGCGTTACTGTCCAACAGACCACAACATTTCTCGTTTATCATTCTGGAGTTGACAGCGTACTAATGTAGTCTCAAGTGGTATGTATTTTATCATTTTATACTCGTATTTCCTTTTGTATTGTCGTAATGTGCTAACTACAAACTTTTTTATTTTATTTATTTCCTTGTAAGTCATTAACATCGATCTGACAACTTTTCGCACAGGTATACAAAGTTTTGCATGTGCAAAGTATAGCATGCATATGCAAAGTATGGCATGACGAGATTACTCCAATAAATAAAAAATCAAAATCTATTGCTTTATTTTTTCTGTTTTGAGGAGGTTCTTGGTTTTGTTTTTGTAGCTTTATTGAAAGCTGTTATTATTTTACTTCAAATTCCAACTTAAAATTCATCGCTACATTCTCGCTTTCGATGTTTTAATTATTTCATATCTTATTTTTTTCTTACTACTAGAAGTAATAATTTCCCAGGACCGCCTTATAGGTTTAAATTTTATTGACACGAATCTGCTTATACACGTATGTTTTAATTCTTAGCGACCAAGAATATTTTTAAAGTGTTTCTTTATATTAATAAGGATTGCTTAAAATTAAAAGCGATATATTAATGATATGTGTAATTGTGACCAGTGTAATTTTTTTAGAAATAGAAGGCTTGAAATCCTGTTCACCCGCGGGTCTAGCGAAGAACATTAATTATTAAGTAATTTTGCTTAAATTTGACTTTTTCCTCATGGGTGACATATACGGCGGATCACACTTACTAGACCATCGATAATGTTGTTAATTTTTGTTTTACCGTTTCAGTTCGCTCTTACGAGTATTACATCACGATGCAAATTGCATTATCTTGGTAACACTTTTCCTGTTTAAAATATTTTGTTAAGAATTGGTGATTCGGTGGCGTAGTCGATAAGGTATTGGTGTGGGGATCAAACCCACAATCCTAGTGATCCGATGTTACCACATGTAATTGTCCGGATCTGAGTGTTTTTCCCAAGGAGGGTTGATGTCAGACAGGCAGCCGGTCGTTAAATCCTCATCAATACCACTAATAACATGATTTCCATGTTGTGCCGACTCAATCTAGGTGGGATAAAGGCAGGAAGATGATAATGATGATGAACTGGTGATTATTAAGAAATAAATATCCTTACTCTCTCAAGCAGTTACAAACACAAAATACAACAATATTTTAATTTGTAAACCTTATATAGTTTAATAATTATTATGATGTTAAAAATTTATAATACCCTTTATATTCACAAGTTGTGTTTTTATTTTATTTAAATTGAAAAATTCTTCAAAGTGTTAAACCATAGTTACTTTTACTTGATGTTTTTACTTTCATGGGATAGAGAGAATATGTAGACTGTTAAAGCTTCATCGAATGCATAACCCTTGGGTTAAAGAGAACCCTCTTCTAATGCGTGACTTATCTTAAACAGGAGTTATGTCACCTTTGAGCCGTCGAGATTTGGTATGGACCGTGACTCCGATGGCCGTTGACTGTAGTAATCGGTGGCTCGGGTGATAAAAACCACCCTGGAACGCGTGTGTACTTCATGTTACTCTGTTGATTTTATGAGGATAGACTAATTAGTTATAAGTAGTTGGTTAGCACCATATGTGGGGTAGTTTTGTCTACACACATCACGTGTACCAGATACATCGGACCAGGGACGTTGTCCTCTTCCTCGACCGGATCGACCAGGACGTTGTATTTGTCGAGTTGGTTATTTTTATGTTCACCAGAGGGTTGGAATGGTTCCCGGATCTTTCGATGAACCATTTAGTTAACTCTTTAAATCATCGCATAGCGTCCGGACTTCACGTTGTTTCAACATTAATTTATTGGTTTTTATATAATATGGTTATTACTGTGTTGGCTTCAACGGTTTTTGAAATTCCACTATATTATAGGTATGTATACAACACTTCCATGCGAAAACCGGTACTTTATATCGATTACGTATTGAGTCCACGCTTGGTATCGCAAATTTGAATTTATAGGTCATGCTATTGGAAATTTTATAGGCCATTTGTTTGTAAAAAATCATGTTTAACTGAAAACTTATCTTTTTGGATCAGCGCTTCTATAAAATTGATACTGGTCGTTAAAATGCTTTTATATAAATTTGTTCGCATAAACATTTTATGGAGCATCCGACTTCAATCAATAGAGTTTTTATGTTACCGAACTCCAGTTAGAGTTGCAATATACTTTCTTAACACCGTTCCCTTTGCGAACACGATTTTCAATTTAAAATTGATAAAGGGCCATACGAAGTCACAAATGCTGTGGAGGACGAAAAAAAGGGAGTGACAGAATTTTGACGTCCCAATAACTATTCTTTAGGTGCCAACGAGATAGTACGCCGAAACTACATTACGTTAGGTGAGGCGAGAACAGACGAGTTCATGCCCTCTCTCCCTTTGCTACATACGCACCTATAAAAACATGGAGCAAGAAAACATTTCCGTGATTTCTGTTTTACAACGCGATACATCGCGACTACAACGTTGGGTTAATTTTATATGTGATATTTCGAAATTGTTCGAGAAAAAAATTATGCATGTTTATTTATTGGAAGAATTTAATTCATGGTAACATATTTATATTGATGTGAAAAAAGAAATGATTGCAAATTTATTCGAATCAACCACGTATAAGTTATAAACACAATGTTATAATGCTTGCAATAAATATCATAAGCTTACGACTATTGATTACTATTGATTACGACTATTGAATTACGATTATGGTGATCCATTTTAAATTTAATCTCACAGTTTTGTCGCATCCATTGTTTTCCTTTCTAACGTTCAGGGGGGAAAGTCATTGGGGAAATTTGTGGGGTGCGTCGCACCGGCGGCGTGTTTTCGCTCCAGTCAGTATCGTTTTCGCTCACACCGCGAGAGGTCGCTCGCGTTGGACAACATGCGACTTAGTTGAAAAATAAATTGAAACTCCTAGAAATAAATCACAATGTACCTTAATACTTCTGAAACTACTGCTTTATTTGTTATACTATCATGAATATCATATTGAACAAATTATACAAGCACGCTAAACTTCTCATGTTGTTGAGTTTCTGTCTGGCAATAGTACTCGCTAGTGTTTTGTTCCGAATTCAAATTGTAGGAAAAAGCTTTGGGAGCACGAATATCCAAAAGCACAAGGACATCGTTGAATGGGAGTCTATAACAAATGAAACCTCTTCCGAACAGAGCAAAACGAAAAGAAAGGAATACCTGTACAGTCTCTTGACAAATACGACGCGCTCGCTCATACAAATGGAAATAAAAGCTAGGAGACTGGAAGAAAATATGCGTAGGATTAAGGAAAGGACTGCGGATTTATTGTGGAGGAATAAGGATAAAGCGTTGTGGCACATTTTATTCAAAAATATCAGCATGCACAATTCGATTCGCCACCAATTTAACCAGCATTCAAGTCTCAGGCGTATAATGCAAGATACATATGGTCGATCTCATCATAGTCATAGAACTGGAAAAAGAAGACCAGTTAATAAAAACTTTACGAGTATTTATAGTTTTTTCGTATAAATGTGAGATAACGAAGTTTTAGTTTTAGTGTAAATAATTAAAATTAGGTTATTTTTACCATAAGTTTTACTTATATTTATCACAACAGTATCAATAGATTGTGGATAATTTCATGCAACTGTTTATTAAGACTAGCCATGTATAAAGGTAAGTTTAAATTGAAGGCAGAAAATAATATGCGATTTACCTATCCCTATTACGCGAACCTAACCGTAAAGCAAGGATAAGGATTTTCTATAAGTTACTCGTATATGTAAGTTGTTTAATGTCATAAGATCCAACTAAATATCCTCAGTGCACATCACTGTAATATTTTATTGATTATGCAAAAGGATTCTATGTATTAAAATTATGTTTTTAGTTAAGTGTTGTCTTTGACATGTTCTAATTGTTAACTTCTTAGAGTTCGAACATGATTTGTGTCATATGTGTGTCAATCTATTTCTTATCTTCTATTTAATTTTATTTATTCGTAGCCTATTTGCATAACATTAAGTCATATACGCCCTGTTGCCTCACCTTCACCTTCTAAATAACTTATCAGGATTGTATGTGATTGTATATAATTGTCTCTCTACAGTTATAATTTAGCGGTCACATTGAAGTTAACACTGAAGGTAATTGATATTTATTTATTAATGTTTTAAAATTACCGAAAATTAAAAATAGGTTTTATATTATGAGATATGGTTGAATTAAAATTAATTATAAAATTTTCTGTAAGATTAACTTTAAGTCTTCGTATTTAATCACATTTACTTTGAATTTTACAAATGTACCAAGAGTTTTTTTACCGCCTTACCGCTTGCTATCACACTGCTAATGTAAATAAGTGAACTCCACTGTTATAGAAAGAGACAGACGTTGGTGAACGTGCAATGACATTCCACTACCACAAGTAACATAACAAGTTTACATTCGTGTTTTTGTTACGGTGTGTAGTGGTCGGCGAAAATTGTTTTTTAGTTTTAAATTTGTGTGATATACAGAACTGAGATGTCTTGTTGTGAGTATTAATTAACACATTTGCAGTAACGGCGACATGGTGACAATTAAAGTACGTGTACACGCTATTGCTCAACAGTATTATTACAACTGCGTAATAGTACGTGCCAAAAATATATGCGTGATGCATGTCTGATTTTATAAATATTTTGTCTCAGTAATAAAATAAGCATTGACTTATTAAAACATTTTTAACGTCTACCTTCCAGATTTTTTGGATAATTGTGATAAAATTTAATTAGAAATAATGAAATATATTCTTATATAATTTCAATAATAATTCCTGGTTAGAATCGTTCAGTGATCTTTTTTCTTTAAAATAACATCAAAGCTTGTATTTAACGACACATATACTCTCTATATTATATTATCGTTTTAGAGATAAGGCATTGACCCTTTCAAGTTCAACATTTTATAACCATATTTACGTTTCAAATTTATCACCTCATATTTTTCAACTTGTATCGTTACTCAATTTTTTTTTGACATGAAAAAATATGTATTTTTCATTTCAAAAATTAAATTGAATTATCTCGAATTCCGTAGTTTTTCTTAATGAGTTGTTTGAATAATTATTATATATATTCAATAATTCTAATTAAAGAACACAAAGTTTATGAATTTGCAAATGTTAATGTTATAGTTCGTCCTAAGAGAAATCCGTCACTTTTTTTCCAATTTATTTAGATGAAAAAGGTACTCTTAAGTTTGTTCAAATTTTTTATAGGACAGGGAACAGTTAATTCTTCATGAAGAGTATTTACGGTTTTCTACATAGCAAATTTCAGGATGTTAAACAAGCATAAATTTATTGGGTAGTAAAGTAGATTAACAGCGTATAAATGTCTCACTGCTGGGCAGAGGCCTGCTTTGTACTGAGGGTATGAGGGCATAGTCAACCACACGACTCTACTGCGGATTGGCTAACCTCAGATATCTTCGAAATGTTTTTTTTTTCGAAAATATGCAGATTTCATCACGATGTTTTTCTCCAATAAATATATCTATACAATTCACAATTTCAATGGTGCCGACACTGGGGATTGAAATCAGGTTGTTCTAGTATATTGAATTAAAAGCGAGCACCTGGACATGACCTCTCACGGCTCTGTGCAAATGTAATGGGTAACACTTAGAAATTATTAGAATAAATCATCTAAACAAAATGAAAAACAAAAGTTGTAACACATGATAGAAATTTGAGTTTACAAAATGTCAGTGGCATTATGAAGACGAGATAACATTACATTAGCACATATTTTTTATGAATAATACAATTTAAGAACCGATAACAATGTTTACCGTGTATCAAGTGTTTTGTTCATCTTTAACCTTTTTATCATTTTATAGTTTTAACAATTCTATTTCGCAAGTCTCAGTCAATTTTAATAAAAACAATATTTGTACTCCTTTGTTTGTTTTCGTTACAAAGTTTTGGCTAACAATTATTCTTACGGTTATCTTTAAGAAGTAATTGATTACACGAAGATAGCAAAAATGAAATGGAAAAAAGGGATACACATAATTATCATATTATCTATTGTTCTTCACTTTAATCGCTTAATGAAGCGGAGGAACCTATTTTATTACAAAACGTTTTTTAAAATCAATATCATTACCTTTTTAGAACTAAACGTAATATTGAGATATACAATAATTTATTATGTCTCACTAATGTTACAAAACAAACAGTTCTCGATTGATGAGATTACTGATACAACGGAGTCATTTATATGCAAACATTACCTGATGTGATTACTAAATTGCGAAGGGTCGATTCCCCCTTTATCCACCGACAGCCCACGCTTATAATACGAGTACATCACAAATATATTGACTATACATTGATAAAGACTGATAGCTTGATAAAAAAGAAGTCCTCATTGAAAAAAGAATTATTTAATACTCTTGAACTTTGTGAATAGCTTTTTATGTATAATAAATTTTAATTAGTCATAGCAATTAAAAAAATACTAATATTACCTTTAATCTAACACAAAAAAAATTATCATCTATATTATTGATTTTTTAGCTAAACTCTTCCTTTTAATTAAGTTATATATTATAAAATATCATTGAAAATAAAATAAACGTAAAAATATAATAAAATAGTTTTTATTTGATCCTTAATATTACCCTAAAATATTTTTGTATAATATTTGTCATTTATAATATACACTAAACTCTAGATGAAACAGAACAGTATGCACCCTAATAATTATATCGGCTGACTTCAGGTAGTTTCTCTTGAACCGTGGATTTGTTATCATTTGTTATTTTCACTTAAAACTACTGAAGAAGTAAAAATATTTTTTTTTGTAGCCAATTCGGAACCAATCCAACAAAGAATATATTTTTATGAAATTGCCATCACCTTGTATCGTCAATTCTCTTTTAAATTTAGCATATTAAACCTAGTTTTTTCTCTAATTATATAGTATAATATTATATTTTCTATTAGGTAAAGGACCGGGCTATGCTTCACCGTTAGATGCATTTAAAAATGGCGCGAGAGAAAAACTTATCTATGTTGTTTGCGTGCAACCAGACTTAAATCAACAAGATTATTTAGCGACTGTTGATGTTGATCCGGAATCATCCACGTATAGCCAGGTAAATATGTTTGCTTTGATCTCGTCTTCTTATTTATCTTTAAATTTAGTTGAATTGAACGGCAAATGTAAATAACTTTAACTCTTCCGTAATTCAATTAAAATAAATTTTAAACGATAGAGAAAAATCTCTAATGAATTAATCAACAAGCAAAATTCAAACAGTTTGCCAAACATGATAAATATAATACTCGTTATCGATGCGTCACAGAACCGACAGAGCGAATCCGGGACTCTAGGTTAGAAGGTTAGGCGGGACCGGGGCTCCCGCCTTAACCTTCGATGTTAGGTTATTTTTTTTATGACCACCAAGAAATACGAGCAGAATTGTCATGACATATTGACAACAAAAAAATGGCGGATTTCTATAGTAAAAATCACACAATTTCATTATTTATTTTTTCGAAAACTATAAGCGACCGGCGGTTAAACTACCAAAATAAATAATATTATATAAAGAATTGACTTACTTAATTTCACCATAGGTGATTCATCGAACATACACCGGGAGTGTTGGTGATGAACTTCATCACAGTGGTTGGAACGTATGTTCCAGTTGTCACGACAATCCCGATCTCAAGAGAAATCTTATAATCCTACCCGGGCTTCATTCTTGCAAAGTATTTGCAATAGATGTTGGGAGTAATCCTAGAAAACCTGTGCTACATAAGGTAAACCGTAAGTGGTAGTTATTTGTTCAAAGACTTTATATTTTTTCACTTTTCATGAGGTTTAAAGGCTTTAGTTGTCCTAACCGCGTCAGTAAATAGGCAAGCAGATTATAACCATTATATATACATAGCTATTCTATACGGTTCTTACACTGTTCAAATACTTTGGTATCTACATACACACTTCTTATTATATAGCCGATATATCAAAGATGATTCTACTCTATACTGATAAAACAAATTATAGTTGTCTATATAATGTCTAAATAATAGCATTTTACTAAACGCATATGAATGTTTATATAAATTCTTTATCTTCGAAACAGCTGGACCAATTTTAACATATTATCTTTCAATGCAGTTAGCTGATGTTATAAATACTTCATAAGGCTAATTTTATCTTAGAACAAGAATTGATTCCGCGCAAAAAGAAAGCTCATGAAATCAGATTGACAGAAATTTCGTAGATTCTTTTGCCACCAACCCAATTAAGAGCCTACACCAAAAAAAAAATTATTTTTAAAAGTCTTATATTATGTGCCATTTAATGAAACCAGTTTATTGAGGCTTTCAGACTAAATCGCTCATTGTGAGTTAAGGTCATGCAATTTGAATCCTGAACATATTCAGGATTCAAATTGCAAGACCTCAAAATATGTGTGTATAGGAATAAACGTTTCGTAAATTGCGTGTGCCAATAAACAATAATTATTTTTTGGTAATGGATAGACGTCACACAGATCATATCGAGGGTTAATCGGGGGTATAGGTAGTAATGAAATTAGGTTATTTAAATTATTAAGCATATGTGTAACACAATCGAGTATTAATCCTGCCTTGTTAAGCAGAGAGTTATTGCAATACAATGTTTAACAGATCTGATATAACTGTGACAGATGATAGCTGAGACCTGTCGCCATGTAATGCCATGCAATAGGTATACAACTGTTTGACGATGATTTCTGCTTATAAATCCGAAATGGGAACATTTCAATGGTGATGAGATTCGAATTAATATTCAAATACTAATTGACTCTGTTTTCACGGGCGAAGTAAATAGGCTGTCGTAATATTATATTGACCTTTAAGCATGACATAGTCATGTGAATGATATGACAATTAAATCGATCAAAAATATTCCATCCGTCACGTGACTATAATTTGTATCATTGTACCATTCATATAATTGTTTCTGTAATATTTAGCTTAAATTTGCAGGTATTTTGATTATTAGCTTGTTTTTGTAGATGTGGCCAACGTCTAGAGAATACGGCGGGTGGGGTAAGACTTCCCATTTCAACGTTTATATATGTCTTGACCACCGCAACATGGGGTCGAGCATTGTCATGCTGTAAAATCACTTTATCATGTCTCTCGTTGTATTGCGGCCGTTTGTCTTTCAATGCTCGGCTCAAACGCATTAATTGCGATCGATTACGACCGCCTGTGATTGTTTCAGTCGGTTTTAGCAACTCATAATACACTACGCCGAGCTGAAAAGACCGAGCAAAGTCACCGTTCTTGAAGCGTTAAAACCACTCTCGGCACGTTCTTTCACTAATAGCGGCCTCACCACAGGTATTTAAGAGCATTCGATGAGTCTCAGCCGCAGATTTCTTCATATTAAAGCGGAAAATCAAAACCTCCCGTAAATGACGCGAATTTGGCTCGTAAGCTGACATGTTTAATCGGGAATAACTTGATGATGCAGACACAAATCGATTAATATTTTGATGGCGTTATGTTAACAAATAAAAACCTAAACTATTGTATAACATCTACGATCTATTTATTTCGACTACCAGTTACTGTTACAGCGATCTATTGCAAAACGGCGGAAGCAATGTTGTACAACTAATAACACCTTGCAGTTTTCCTGTGAGTCTTAAATACATCTATTGTTAAGAGTTTCGTTATAAAAATGTTACCTATATTTGTAAATTAAGTAGAAATCATGTTTAAAGTTTTACAGATGATAGCGATAATTATTCTTCGTCAATAACACAAGAAATATCTCTGACGATGAGTTTACCTCTTTGACTTTTAGGAGATCTTTAAGTAAGCGTTACCTTTAGATATCACATAAATTCAATAACACTTTTTAATATTATCCGCCTTTAAAAGGCAATAAATTGTATGAAAACAAGATAATACCAGAAAACTCCGCATTTCCACTTACTTTAAAAAACTTTAGAGCTTCTTTTTATTTTTCCTAGGTAATTGATGGCTCGGAAATGAGGTCGGTTAACTGTAGTTTCCCCCATACGGCGCATTGCCTTGCATCGGGGGATATAATGATTTCTACTATGGGAGATAAAAATGAAAACGCTAAGGGAGATTTCGTGCTCATCGACGCGAAAACTTTAAAAGTTACAGGTGACTTATTCGTAGCTTAAATGTTTTGGAGAATATTTTATCTGTAAGATAATATGATGGATTAGTTAATAATATTTACGATACTTATTCTAGCATCCCGGTGGTCACTGAACCTTGAGAAGCATTTGTAGTTAGTTACTTATTTGGAAAACAAATACTTTAATTTAATTTTTATTTTTTAACTTTTAGACTATAAAAATTATCTCATGAAATAGAAAGAAAACCAACGAGTTTCAATATCGTGAAATGTATATTTGTTTCAGGAACCTGGACAAAAGGAGAAAAGGTGGCTAAATTCGGATACGATTTTTGGTACCAACCATATCACGACGTTATGATATCTTCCGAATGGGGTACTCCAAAATTTTTCAAAACGTAAGCTAATTTAATTCTAAAGCTTAAATAATTAAAATAAACTGTCTTGATGAAAAAGTAACTTTATCACCATTTAGCGGTTTTAACCCGGACGATGTTTCTAACTCGGAGAGATATGGAACTTCCCTCAATATTTACAAATGGTCAACACGAGAGCTGCAGCAAGTAATAGATTTAGGTGCGGACGGGTGTGCGCCGCTCGAGATCAGGTTTCTCCATGATCCAAAGTCCTCGGAGGGATTTGTCGGCTGCGCCGTCGAAGCTAACGTGTACAGGCAAGCAATTTATGTTTGTTATTTCAAGCTTATTGTCCATTTCTATGTGTATGTACATAAAATAAGCAGGCTGTTTATAGCTGATATTTTGATAAGACAGATTTTATAAGTCTTCGGATGGAGCATGGAAGGCTGAAAAAGTGATTGATATACCGGCCAAAATAGTTCAAACCAACGGCGTGGAATCTAAACTGAATGGTTAGTATACGCCTAAGAACGTTTAGGAATAACTGAATCCAGTGACATTTTTATTTTAAATCCACAGGTTTGATATCCGACATTCTTTTATCTTTGGACGACAAATATTTGTATTTATCATGCTGGTTGCACGGTGACGTCAGGCAATATGATATATCGAATCCAGAGCAGCCTAAACTAACAGGTCGCATTTCCTTGGGAGGTAAAATTATAAATGATAATTTAAAAGTTATCGAAGATAAAGAATTTCAGGTAAGTCGAGATGAATTTCGATAAAATTAATAAACTATTATTATTTAAAAAATATACTTTTACAAAAGTGCGCTCTGGTTACCTCATTTGCTAGAAGGTATTGTAATTTTACTCCACGCCAGTCTTCTGTTTGACCATCCACTTTCCCTGATGATCCTGACTATTCCTGCAGCAGAAGCTTCTGCGTGTCCCTATCCCAGTGAAAAGATAAAACAACCTACCACATTAAAACTTTGATTGTATCGTTATCCGTTACATACATATATTACTGAAAAATAACTACTAAGAACTTCCGAAAGATAAATACCAAGTATATTTCAAACGTTTTACGCTGTGAGAACTCGATATTGTAAGATTAATTTGCATCTAAACACAACTAAAGCATTTACCATCTAATAAGTACAAATTACCTATAAAATTTGAGCTTATGATTGTAATTGTTATAAGAGTATGTACGTCAACTTAGTTATTGAATATATTTTCTTATAACTTTGTTATTAACTATAATGCAGGAAATACCAAAGCCGGTAATCATAAAAAACAAGCAGTTACTTGGGGCACCTCAGATGCTTCAACTTTCTTTGGACGGCAAACGATTGTACGTATCATCATCTCTCTACTCCCCGTGGGACAAGCAGATTTATCCCAATATGGCTGAACAGGTCAGTTTTGACAGCTTACTATTACTTGTCTACAAAGTGTCACGGGAAACATTCATAACCAAAATATCATTTCCAGGGTGGGTGGATGATTAAACTGGATGTGGATATAGAAAATGGCGGCTTAAAATTGGATCCCGATTTTCTAATAGATTTTGGGAGTGAGCCAAATGGGCCGGTGCTGCCCCATGAAATGAGGTAATTTCTTTCAAAAGACACATCGAAATAACATTATGTTTTAAAGGCTATTTTAAAAATGTTATATTTAATAAAATATAACAGATATTGTATGTTTTGTTGTTGTAGATATCCTGGTGGAGATTGTACATCGGACATATGGGTGGCTAAAGATTGATGCTCAAAAATTGTTTATACAATATTGTTCATTAAGATGCATAAATAAGTTGAGGTACTTAACATACAACGTAAATAAATATAGTACCAGTAGTATATAGGTGTATCATAATTACATAAAACAGAACAAATTTATATATAATAATACTTTTTAAATTTCATTTGTCGACGCTGATGTGCCCAACACTTAATATAATATAAGATCGCTCTTTTTTATACTAAGCTCTTTTTGAGGGTTCCGTACCCAAAGGGTCAAATTTGTGAAATTTGTGAAATATTTGAATTCCATTTGGGTGCACAAATGACCTATTTTTTGAATTCTTGGCTACAAAAAGGTGTCTTTTGGTGTCTTATATTTAGGCCCGTATACGGTCATTTACAGTCCTCGGACAAACTTTATGTTGCGTTACGTTTGTCTACATAGATTAGGTTAAAATACAATGATGCTTGTGTGTAACTTACCTCTTTCATTATATTATAACGAAATAAAACAAAATGATTTAGAAAAGGTTTTATCATTTCATTAACCTTCTCACCTTTGATGGTGAAGAATGCCATGTTTTAACAAAATGAAAGAAATAATGACATGATACTGATCTGTACATGAATATAAGCTAAATTCAGTGAAGTTTGTTTCAATACATCAAATATTGAAAAAAACTTTACCGAATAATTTTATATGGTGTGTTATATGTCATGAAGAAAGTTGAGTATGATATTGAGTGGAAGCGAACATAAAAATGCTTTTATCTTCACGTAAGTACAATTTTTTATACTTTCGGAACATATCTCTCGAGAAGGCCCAATTTTGCTCATCGATTGTCGGTACGAATAGAATTAGATCAGCGATTTCAACTGGTTTATAACCTTTGTGTATGAAGTACTTTCACTTGGTATAAAAATGTAAAAACAAATTGTTATGTTTTTACAAAAAAACAAACGCAATCTTATTTCAAGTAATTTTACAATGTTTGGCTTATCTGTTTAAAATTTCGTGTGGTACTGTTACATAAAGAATATTTTTTTATTTTAAATATAAAATTTTAATATTTCTAAACCTGTCTGTAATTAAGTGTTTCAGTTTTATCAATCTTCATATTGTTTTTTGTTTGAACTTTGTCGAAAATGTTGGCAGCTAAGCGATTCATGGCATACAATAAAATAACAGCATATTTACGAATCCAAAGATATAACAATGACCAAAAAGGATAAATTTCAAAGTAATGTCGCAGTAAAAGTCGTGGATAAAATACTAAGGTTGTATATTGCGGATCGAAAGGGTTGCAAGGACAATAGGCATTCTTGCAGGATTTAGGATAAGGACGTGCGGCCTTTAAAAGACGGCCTTAATGTTCTCACTGAATTTCCCTTAGGTGTATGTGTAAATATGTTAAAATAATATTGAGCTGAAAAATTTCTATTTTAAACACAAATATAAATATACTATTTACATTTCAGTTTTCTTAAATTAATATATTAAATTTACCCAGACTTTTTGAAACATACTAACTAGATAAAAACCTTGAGGTCAAATCTATTGAACTTTAACCAATTGTTAATAGCATTTTTCTATCATTTAAACGGATAATTTATTAATTCTTGTTTCAGAATATTTTAGTTGGACGTCTATCATTCACGTTAAATTTTAAGCATTAATAAATTCATACAATGACTTAAGTTCCTCTTAAAATCTATTTTTTTGCGGTAACAATTTTCTTATGCTCCTTAAAAGAAAATTCAAAGAATCCATGTTTGGTTTTGGCTATTGCAATCAACTTAAAATAAAAGTTAATTTGAAATTTATTAATTTTTCTGGATATTTTCACTCGCGGGAGTCTGTTCTGTTTCACAGACGTTTCTGTTACTTAAACAATCGAAAACACATTAAGTTTTCGCAACAGAAATTTACGATGCCTCTAATTTATAGACGGAAAAGGAATGGAGCGGCCCCTTTTCTCCAAGACGATTGTTTTCTACTGTAGATATTTTTTTAACAGGAAATTACGTATTTTAATTAAATTGCTAAACTTGTAGAAGTTGTATTAAATTTCACACATCTTAAAACTGAATTAGATGATCCCTTATTTCTGAATTAACAGTGATCAAATATGAAATCTAAAGAACACTCTTACTGGAGCCCGTAACTCGGACCCATTTCTGTCGTCTCAACTACTAATAGCGAATATCCATGGGCGGATGTGGCCACTTGCTAAACCGTTCGTTTCTTTGCCATCTCTACCGGAAAATGTGTTACAACTAGCAATTCAACATTTATAATAGACACTTCACAAAAATCAGGATTGAAATAAAATTACTGACAGAAAATTTTGGTAATTACTCTTTCAGCTTCTTACATTCTGATTGTCCTTGCATAGGACAGTGAGGGGTATTTTGAAACAATTAAAAAAAAAAAATTAAATAACTTGTGAATTATGGATATAGACATGTATTGGTACTGTAACAATTGTTATATTAAATCAAATCAAAAAAGTTTCGAAATTTCGAATACTGAAATATGTATACCCAGACAGTAGAAAACCACTATTTTCATCACATAATATTTATCCACTTAATATTTATCCAGTAGTGGGGATCGACCTCACCCTGTGGCATGAGAGACAGGTTCACTATCCACTACGCCCATCGGTTCGACGATAAGGCTTAAAGCATTTAAAATTATTCCGTTTATATATACAAGACAATAAAATATCACGTTTGTCACTGAAACAGCAAAGAGCGTTATGGAAAATATAAATCTTTCGAATGTTCTCATATAGACCAAAAGCCATTTCGTTGGGTATTCGAAATTACAACGTTCCCATGTGTGTCGGCTTTAATCTTGCGAGGCCCTTTATGAGAATGTACCGAGTGATTACTTACAAATTCCACTACAATACTGTTGGTTAAAAATAAATCGTTCTGTTTTGGATTAACAAAAAACTTTTTCTAAATATTCAAATGAAACCGCGTGAATTTTATGTTTGTAAAACGTCCTTACAACACAGGATAATGTTATCCTAAGGTAAGGGCAATGTTTAAAAAAAAAAAATTGAAAAGAAGATTATTGCAAGTTGAGGCAAACGTTTAGTACTATCTAGGTTGTAAGTTTCTTTTAATGTAATTTAAAAATCCATAATGCGTTAGTTTAAACTCTTGTGTTTACACAAGTAACGTAATTATAATAATTGTAACTTTGATCATTGGTTATTGAGGATAAGTAAGGATCAAATTTAAAAATAAAAATCTAATATTATGCGCTGAACCGCATGTAAAACAATAAAAAAACACCTTTTTCCTCTCTCTATAATAGATTACTCTAGAAAAGGCTTGATTCCATTAACAGACTATTCTGCTTCGTGAATGCAAATGGATCTATCTATCCATGCGGTTACAACATTAAAAGTAAGAACTTTCCCTTATAAGTTTATTTCAGTATAATCTCATTTACAAAACCTTGTGTGAGTACAAAATTGCGTGTTCCCAAATCACACAAGTACGTTGCATTACAAGGAAATGGTGTTGTTTCTAGAGACAAATTCGAATATCCGGTTTTGAAGTGGGAAGCTCTCGAGACAGTAGACGCGACTCATTGTGGAAATTAATGTGCCGTGCGCTAAGCCTTGTCACGAACAATACCTAAACACAGACAACGGCATGGTTTCCTTTGTTTGACGACAAGTTCGCCACGGCGACGTCTACTGCATAAATACATCATTGAAGGATACAATTCAATTTTTACTAGAAAAGAAGAAAAAAATGATCGATTTTCTTACTATGAACAGTTTTATTGGTTGTTGAACATAAAACAGTTTGTTGTTTTGTAAAATTACGTTCATATATGTATGAAATTTAAATACCTTAAAAATATAAATATAAGATGAAAATGTTAACAAATGTCATTTTCCTAAAATTTTATACCTGTTACTTTATATTTTTCATCATATAGATCAACAGTTTAAAAAAATAAATTAAGTCCTTTTTTAAGTTAAAGAAACGTAAAATCGGTATACAGCCTGAGATAAGGAGTTAGAAGTAATTATAGAAATAAAGTCACAAATATACAACATATTTGCAATTTAAATTTTTATAATGATTAAATAATGGATACCTACTTGCAAATTTACATGATGATAATGAGGGTTTTCTTTAATTGTTGTTCTTTTTAGCAAAGGAAAGGCAAAAAAATCTCTTTAGGCTTCTTCTTTCTTCTGTTCTGAATAAGAACAACCAAAGTTATTTCACAATCAGATAAACGGTCTATAAACGCTCGGACGACACATTCACAAGCATTGGTTTTATTCGTAAAAGCGTATGTTAAGAAAAAGTCGAAATAATTAATTAAATAATTCTTAAAAATCCACATTTCACAAAAACTATAAACGCGATTTCGTTCAACGTAGAGTGGTTAAGAGTCAAATCCTAAGAAAGTGCTTCTCATCCATGTTTTGGTTACCAAACAATTTCCACACTTCAGTTTTCTCGAAACAACTACCATAAAACTTGAGTGAAGTATAGTCGACTTCTTTAGCGAGTTGAACTTGTCCAAAGTGTATTAAATACTTAATAAAGTCACGTAAAAATGTACATCTAAACATGTATAGCTGAATTATGAAAATAAGATTAAGTTGAACATAATCTGATTATATTTTTTTTACAATATAATTCTGTACTAAAGGTGGAAACTTGTTATTGACTTTATTTATATCTTTATATATATAATTCTGTGTGTCAACACACGTACAATAGAATTACTGTACTGTTCCTAAATGGCTGGACTAATTTAAATGACATTTTTTGTGTCTTCAGGTCGATTCAAGAATGGCTTAGATTCGAAATTTTTTTAGTCTTTTGTTAAGTTATCGGATTTAAGTCGTGTGTACAGGAAAACGTCTGCTCGGTCCGCTAGTGTTATAATATTTTTTTAATATAAGAACTTAATAGTTGTATACTTTCATAATAATGTTAAAAAAATATATTGAGGGTCAATAGATATAAATT